CGTTTGAGATGCTGAGACAGAAATTGTGTGAGGCGCCGATCCTAGCCCTGCCTGAGGGCGTAGAGGATTTTGTGGTTTATTGTGATGCGTCCATTTCGGGGTTGGGCGCAGTTCTGATGCAGAGGGGGCATGTCATTGCCTACGCTTCGAGGCAACTCAAGCCCCACGAGGCGAACTACCCGACGCACGATTTGGAGTTGGGGGCCGTGGTCTTCGCCCTCAAGATTTGGCGACATTACCTCTACGGGGTTCGTTGTACTATCTACACGGACCACAAGAGTCTGAGGTATCTCATGGACCAGCCGAATCTGAACATGAGGCAGCGTCGGTGGTTGGATGTGGTGAAGGATTATGATTGCGAGATCCTTTACCACCCGGGGAAGGCCAACGTGGTGGCCGATGCGCTTAGCCGCAAGGCGGCGCCGATCAGGGACGTATGCATGAGGATGACCGTAGTGACTCCCCTATTGGAGCGAATTCCGGAGGCTCAACAGGAGGCTATCAAGGAGGAGCATCGGAAGAGCGAGCGCGTGGTGGTTCAGGTATCCTCCTTTGATTATGATAGCCGGGGTCTATTGACACTACACCATAGGGTGTGGGTGCCGTATCACGGGGGCGTCCGCCAGATTTTGATGGATGAGGCGCACAAGTCCCGATTCTCTATCCATCCCGGGGCGACGAAGATGTATAGGGATCTTCGTCTGAACTATTGGTGGCCCTGCATGAAGCGGGATGTGGCATGGTACGTAGAGCGGTGCTTGACCTGCAGGAAGGTCAAGGCCGAACATCAGAGACCGCATGGTAAGATGCAGCCGTTGGACATTCCACTGTGGAAATGGGAAGATATCACCATGGATTTTATTACAAAGCTTCCCAGGACCGCGCGTGGAGTGGATTCGATTTGGGTCATCGTGGACCGACTGACCAAGAGTGCTCACTTTATTCCGATTCAGGAGAGCATATCGGCCGAGAAGTTGGCCGATAACTATATCAGGGAAATCGTGGCGCAGCACGGGGTGCCGGTATCGGTGATCTCGGATAGGGATGTACGTTTCACTTCCAGATTTTGGAAGAAGTTTCATGACGAGTTGGGCACTCGATTGCATTTTAGCACCGCCTTTCACCCGTAGACAGATGGTCAGAGTGAGCGGACCATCCAGACTTTGGAGGACATGTTGCGGGCGTGTGTGTTGGATTTCGGTGGTAGTTGGGATATCTATCTTCCCTTGGCCGAGTTCTCCTACAACAACAGCTACCACGCGAGTATTGACCGACCACCATTCGAGATGTTGTACGGGCGGAGGTGCAGAACCCCGATATGTTGGGGTGAAGTTGGCCAGAGAGTCATGGGAAGCACCGAGGTGGTGCTAGAGACGACCGAGAGGATCCAGCAGGTTCGGAGCAGACTTCAGACTGCTCAGAGTCAGCAGAAAAGTTACGCCGACAAGCGTCGATCCGACTTGGAGTTCCAAGTCGGGGATATGGTTCTCCTTAAGGTGTCGCCTTGGAAAGGCGTCATCCGATTCAGGAAGCGAGGCAAGTTGGGCCCGAGATTCATCTGGCCGTTCAGGGTTGTAGCCCGGGTGCCGTAAGGTGGCGTATAGGCTGGATCTGCTAGCCGAGCTCAGTCAGATCCACAGCACTTTCCATGTTTCGCAGCTGCGGAAGTGCCTAGTGGACGATTCAGCGGTAGTACCGTTGGAGGATATTCAGGTTGATGACAGCTTGAATTACATTGAGCGCCCAGTCACAATACTCGACAGGAAGTCGAAGGCTTTGAGGAACAAGAGGGTAGAACTAGTGAAGGTGCAATGGCGGCACCGCAAGGGTTCGGAATGGACTTGGGAGCCGATGGACGAGATGATGGAGCATTACCCCGAGCTGTTTCAGGATCGAGCAGCAGACTTCGAGGACGAAGTCTAAAATAAGTGGGGGAGATTTGTAGCACCTGGTTTCTGGTATGTGAATTTTATTTGAGTATTTCCTATTTTAGCCTTGGACTCAGCGAGTCATAGGTCCGACTCGCCGAGTAGGGACGAGACTCAAGACACGTTTAAGTTGGCGACTTGGCAAGTCCATATCCCGGACTCGGCGAGTCACCGCTGCTGGATGAAACCCTAAATTTCAAGGGTTTGCACCCTATTTAAACCCTCATTCCGCCCAAAACTCGTCCCCATTCACCCCCAGAACTCCCATAATCATTATACCCTTATTTCCTTGAGAGATTGAAGTGTTTTGGTGTGTTCTTGAAGATTTTGAGGAGAAAGAAGAGTAGATCAAGAAGAGGAGAAGGAGGCCAGGCATCTTTGTGTTATTTCAATGTTTTCCTTGAGGTATAGCTCGTTTCCCCTCTGTTTTCAAGCTTGGAATCTCTTTTAGCTTCATAGAAGTCCTTCTTGAGCTCTTCCCCAAGCTTGTTTGTGCTTTGTGGGTTGTAATAAGTTGTTAGCCTTTAGATCTAGGCATGATTTAGTCCCTGGAGCTTGGATCTAATGCCTTTATGGGGTCATATTGCATGAAAGCCCTAGATCTACCTCTTTTGGTGCACTTTGAGCCTTAAAATCCATATTGGTGAATATCTACACGTAAAGTTGGAAACTTTACGTGTGATTTGTGTCCTAGAAGCCCAGATCTGTGAATGGCATGGACTGGAATCGAGCAAATCGGTGTATTTGATGGATGCATGGCTGCGACTCGGCGAGTCGTATATGTGACTCGACGAGTCTGGTCGCGAGTCACTGAATTGGTCCCTTTATGATGTATCGAGTTGAGCCGTGAGTCACAGGGGGTGACTCGGTGAGTTGGAAGCTGAACTCACCCATGATAGGACTCGGCGAGTCAATGCCCTGACTCGGCGAGTCCAAGGCAATCTTCATAGATCAAGAACAGACTCGGCGAGTTGTTCATACAACTCGGCGAGCTAGCATAAGTGTTCTTCGGATGAAGATGAACTCGACGAGTTGTTCATACAACTCGGCGAGTAGGATGAAGAGGTTGAACGTCAGTTTAGAAGATGAACTCGTCGAGTCATAGCCTAACTCGACGAGTAGAAACAGGGACTCAGGACAATCGTCTGATAGGGACTCGACGAGTTGGAGAGCCAACTCGGCGAGTCGGGTCAACTGAAAGTTGACTCTGACTTTGACTTAGAGCTAGACCAGGGGTAAAATGGTCATTTTACCCAAAGGACAGTTAGCAGTGTTTGATTGAGTATGTTGTGGGAATTGCAGCCGGAGGATTTCCGGAGCAGCAGCAGTCAGTTAGTTCCCGATCAGTTCAGCAGCTACTTTGAGGTGAGTTACCTTCCAGTAGTGGTGGGTCTAAGGCCACAATGCCGGCCCACCAGTAGGAGACGTATGATAGATGATTGTCTTTGTGATATCATCTAGGTTTGCTATTACCTGATATGTTATATGCTATCATGATACGTTATATGCGATAGTAGTAGAGTTCGGTTGTTAGGACCGCAGGGTAGTCAGACACCCCAGAAACGTTTGACAGTATGTGATGATATGTTTGTATGTTGGCCTGTTATGTTATGCGATAGAGGTAGCAGGAGGGGACCAGTCCCCGAGGATCGGTTGTTAGGACCGATGGGTAGTCATCACCCCAGAATGGCTTGACATGGGTAGTCAGCACCCCAGAATGGCTTGACACGGGTAGGACGGCACCCCAGAATGGCCGTATGGGTAGGTCGGCACCCCAGAATGGCCGTACCGGGTAGTCAGGCACCCCAGAATAGCCTGGCGGTAGCGGCACATCATGCACACACTTTGGTTTCCGCATTTACGAGATTCACTGGGATTGTACTCTGATATTTTTATGGGATGTATGGTTTGACTTTTTAAAATATGGTTTACGATGTGTTATGGTGTGATCAAACAATGTTTTTATTTATTAATGTTTTCTAAAGTAATATTTGAAAACGAAATTTTCGGACGTGAAAATTGGGTCGTTACATGGAGTTTGTACGTGATTTTAGACTATAAATCCATCATTTTTTAGTTTCATATTCATTGAACTATAGTCCTCCAAAGTCAGGATATAAAAGCTAAAAAAATTCAGTTTCTCAGTTTTTTTTTTATTATGTATTTTATAAAATTTTAAAACTTGCATATCTGTATCGTTTAATGTCGTATTATCATGAGATTTTTTTCAACTTGTAGTTTAGACTTTTTACCATACTTTAGACAATAATTTTGACATTTTAGGTTTAATATTCAATTACAGACAGTCCCCCGAAGTTGGGATATCAAAACTAAAAATTTTCGAAGTTAAACCCAGTGTACCGCAAAATGCAGTGTGCATTAAACATTGCACCGACCTGCCATCACAAAGTATAGTATGCTTTTCGTGATTTTGAGTTTTGCCGCACCCTCGTTTTCTTTTTCCTGTTGAAATGTAAACGTTGGCTATTTTTTTTAATCTTTCTATAAATTAAAATTCAGTTCTCATTTCAAAATCACCTTCAAACACAAAAAGCTCTCTAGAATTTACAAAATTTTTATTTCAAAATGTCTTCTTGTTTTTCCACTTCGTCTGATACCTTGGCGTTTACCGGGGACGTCATGCGCACAACACCCACTTATTAGCAAGAAAATGAAGGCGAAAGTTCGCGCCCAATAATAAGAAATCCTCCATTAGGAATAAATTATGAAGCCGACCACAACTAACTTGTGAACGACTATATTACCGATGATGCAGTGTACAAGAATAAATTCAGGCGTCAGTTTAAGATAAGTATGGTTTTATTCTTACGCATTTCTTATGATATAAAAAAGGAATTTCCATATTTTTAGTAGCGAGTTGATGGAAGTAAGCAAGTTTTCTCCAATGTTCAAAAATATACCGCTGCAATTTGTCAACTAGCTTTTGGCATGAGACTGGGAATGCTTGTTAGCATTTATTGTATGTATTGGTGGTGGTCAACGTGCTATAATGTATGTCACAATCAATTTTTGTGAGGTGATGAAAAGCAGTTGACAATAATTTTAGAAGTAATGGCGTTGTATGACCTTTGGATTTGGCATGCATTTGTTGGTCCATCGGGTGCAAACAACAACATTAATGTTCTAGACAAATCGCCGATATTGAAAAACATCTACGTTAGAAAATCATATAATGTGTCATTTCAAGCAAATGGTACATCATACAAGCATGTGTATTACCCTACTGATCGAATATACCCTTAGTTAGCAATATTTGTGAAATCATTAACATGTCTAAACGATAACATGCGATTAACCAAATGTGCATTTGATATCCTAAAGAGACATTGGCAGATACTTATAGTACCGACATAATATATGGAGAGTAGACGAATAAGTAGTCTGGTGTACACATGTATCATATTGCATAATATTATTTTAGAATATGAGCAAAAGTTGATTTGCCGCTACAATGAAAATGAAAATTTACCAAATGTCGAAGGAGTTGGTATTCGTTTGAAGACGTACATGGCGAACAAAGCGGAAGTATACAACCGAGTTGGACGCCCCAACCTTTATGTTGATTTGGTGCAAAACATATTCAATGCTCGAACGAATCCCGTTGTCGATGATTTTGTTAAACACGACTTGTTTGATGATAAAGATGACGATTCGAGTTTAAAGGAGATTCGGATGAAGATTTTGATGACGTGCCGAACGACGATGATTTGAAGTCACATATTATGTTTCGATTATGTTTTTTGTTTTTAGTTTAATATGTATTTTGTTTAATTAACGAAGTATTTTGGTTTTGTTATTTTTATGTAATTACATTTTATTCAATTAAAAAACTAAAATAAAAGTATGGGAAAATATGCTATGACACCCACCTGTTTTATGGAGAGGAAGAAAAAATAACGTGACACTGTAAAAGTATGATGACACCTATAAGACTAAGTAATTACCATAAAATTTTGTTTATTTCGGGTTCTCCGGTTCCAGACTCACTTTACCTGTTTAACCCGGTTCACTTTGATGTTTCTAGGTATTCTGGTTCTAGACCCATTTTACCCGGTATCTTATCCGCAATCGAACCATAACTTGTTCATATATACTGGTCCAGTTTCCGATCCTATAAAATCCGTTAATCGATTCCTAGGTTTTTCGGATCGAGATCTATCTGTGCCGGGTTTGGACCCGCTTTAATTCCTAATGAGAACTCATATGTTCTTAAGATAACTTGGTTGATATTGATTAAAATTCAACTCTTGATAATTTTGAGAAAGTAAACAAAAAATTAGGATTGATCGATGGTCGATATTCATTTTAAAATGCGTCTTGTTCGTTGAAGTTAATTTATTTTTCTGTATATTTAAAATTATACACACTTTTTGTGATCTTTTGCATCTTTCAACTCAAGTATTTAAATGTATAAACATCAACTTTCGACTCCTCAACGTACGGATGTGATTGTTAACATAATATACGTACATACCATGTCTCTAAAACAAAGAAAGTAATAAGAGGACTTAACCTAAGATCTTATTTATGTATTCCAGCTTCTTAACACGGTTTAAAACAATCATTCTTTTCTAGGATACGATTTAGTACGTATTTGGATCATGTGGACCCTTTTTGTGTTTAAGAACATATAAGTGGTCTAAAACTTTATAAGAAGTATGTGTATGGATATAATTATGATTTTCTTTTAAATTAACGTCATGCATGTATAATCAAATCACATAAATATAGTCTTTAGTAACGTCAATAATACACCTATCAGGCTTTCACATCGAATTATGATGGAACTTGTGCAAGATATCGTGTAATTTATTGAAATGAAATGGGTCATATTATTTTGTGGTCCAGTTTATCTTATGTCGAATGGATTTGATTTGCTTGCTTGACTTATAAAGATACGTTTTATCAATATCCATAAAAAAAAAACTATTTTTGTCATGCTTTACATCCCAAATTTAAATGATGAGTATTTTTGTCATGCTTTACATCCCAAATTTAAATGATGAGTTGTTATTATTATTATTATTATTATTATTATTATTATTATTATTATTATTATAGTCACATGTCCACTATTAAGGTTTAAAAACATTATTATTATTATTATTATTGTTATTATTATTATTATTATAGTCACATGTCCACTATTAAGGTTTAAAAACATTATTATTATTATTATTATTATTTTTGTTATTATTATTATTATTATTATTATTATTATTATTATTATTATTATTATTAGGGATTTTCATCTAATAATCTAAGAGGGTGTTTAAAATCTTAAATTTGAATCTCCTTCTATCCCTATAATTGAAAATATGATCTTTAGCTAAGCCACGACAAAAATAAGCATTTTTAACCTTATGGATTTTTTTGTGATAATTCCAATGTTTAGCTTTAATAATAAAATTCAAACAAAAAATAAATCCTTTCAAAATCCAAATTAAAAAAAAAAATACAAAACATCATATAATATCACATGTAACATCAATAATGGTTTTATATGTTAGGGTTAACAAGGGTTATGGTGGGAATTTGGGCTTCCAATGGATTGTGTGAGTTCGCTTTTCGAACTAATATTTCTATCTTATGTTCGGGTTACAAGAAATCCAGTGTAGGATAATCCAAATGGATACTTGCAAATCTGGACACATAAACATAAGTGAAATTGCTCGAGAATTCTTGGAGTGTTACAGAAGAGAAGGAGCTCACAAGGGTATAATACAACTTAATGGAAGAGCCATATTTATACATGACAATTAGGGTTTCCGTCTTCTAAATTAGTTATGTGAATCATGGAATTAATGCCATAATCAATGATTTCCAAAACTGACGAGATTACTCAAGTTTATCATAAACACCTACAAACTAGAATACAGATTTTTAACTACTAGGCACTCTGCCCCGTGGACCCGGGTAGGGGCACTACCCATAGGACCCTACATATGGGCACAACCCCATTGACCTCTGCCATTTGTCATACAACTTATAATTCGATGTTATATATGTGTACACTCTGCATTCACAAAACATATAATATATAATACAAATTATAAACCTGTTAGTTCACATATTAGTTCCAATTACACAAAATGTCATGTGACATTAAAATCACCAAACATAATATACCTTCTTGTTTCCAACTAAATATACAACTTTTGTTTCATGTCTATGACCAATATAAGAACACCAAATTATTATAATAAGTGAATATTCTCAACAAGTAATAACATTGCAGCAAGTATAATAAAGAAGTTTAAATATTTTCAGCAACTATAAACCTTTCAAGCAAGTGTAATCAACAAGTACAAAGACTTTCAACATATATCAAGAAAATTCAATAAATTCAACCTTAATGAAACATATGATTTCTTGTTTCAAGAACATCAAAAAATAACATCAAATTTCATGCTACAAGAATATCATAATATAACACCAAATTTTATGCTTCAAGTAAACATAATATTTTAGCTAATAGAACATCCAATTTCAGTTTTAGAAACTAGTTTCAAAATTCAAAACCGGTTTTAGCAAGAACATCATATTTCAATAAAAATATGATAAAAACAACTTCAAATTTTTAGTGAAACAAGTATTTTCCATCATATTATCAATTTCAGCAAGAACATCAAATATCAGAGCTTGTTCCACAAATAAATAGATTTTCAACAACTAATTTCAAAAGTTTTACCGCTTTCAACAAGAGTGGCAGCGTTGGCTGGCAAAGAAGGAGGGAGTGAAGACGGTGTTATGCGACGTCGAAGAAGGATGTAAGATAAAAAAATGAATGAGGGAGATGGATGTGTGTAGATGGAGATAGGAATATGGTCGCAGGTATCACTTAGGGAAATGAGGGAAAACACACATTTTTTCATTCAATGTGTGACAACCTGAAATTTATTCCGTCGCTGGAACCCATTTCCGTTAATAAAAATATTTTATTATTATTTCCATTAAGATTTGGGTTAGACAAATAAATTAATCTTTTTATTTTATTTCATAAGGGTTGAATCGAAATAAATACACGTGTAACACCCTCGAATTTAATTATGGAAAATATTTAATTTACGACTAAGCCAGGTACGACCATAAGCCCCGTTTAACGTCAATATCGGGTAGATTTCCACTTGACCACAAACTCAAACCCTATATAAGGGTTGAGTGGTCAACAACTTAAACTTTTTACCACTCTAGTCACTCTCTCTCTCTCTCTATCTCTCTCTCTCTCTCTACTCTCTTTCTCTTTACAAGTGGGTTTTGGCCAAGAAACACCTCATTCAAGCTCAGAATCCGTAAGTAATCACTCCTAGCTTGTTGTTTTGCTCAGTATTCATGCAAATTAGGGATTTAATCACCCAAATACCCCAAAAACTAGAGTTTACGGTTAGGGAACACCTCCCAAAACCGTAAACTCCCATAAAGGGGTTTTAAGGCCCCAAAATCCCACCAAAACCCTTCTAGTGCTTGTCTATGACTTGGAATCTTGCATGAATGAAATTAGAAACCCAAAATCATGTCTTTAAGGGGGTAAACATGAGTTTACGGTCCATGCACATTCATGAACCTTAAACACCCAACAAAGGGGTTTTTGATGCCCCCAAACCCTCCCAAAGCTCGGATATTGACCTAGAATCTTGCATAAATGACCTAAGGACCCCAAATCACGAAATGGATGGAATGGCCATGAGTTTACTGCCGTAAACTCATAATTTTACGGTAGTAAACTCCCAAGAACCATTCAAGAACCGTGAACACCCCAAAAAGGGTGTTTTGATGACCCAACTCACTATCAAGCATGACTTATGGACTAGGAACTTGCTTGGATGATCTAGGAACCCCAAAATTCGAAGTGGATGGATAAACCATGAGTTTACTACCGTAAAATCATGGGTTTACGATAGTAAACTCCCCAAAAAGGGTCCAAGGACTGTAAACTCCAAAAAGTGAGCAATTCATGCCCTAACCACTTCCTAAACCCTTAAAATCAACCCTAGAACCTTCCTTGGTGAGGTAAGAAGCTTAAAAGCACACAAATACACCCCTACCATGAGTTTACGGCCGTAAACTCATTGGGGAAGTGGTCCCTCAACCGTAAACTCACCTACGATGAGTATTTGAGGAGTAAACTCCATAGTGAGACCTTACACTCCTTCCTTGCAACCCAATAGCCTCCTAACACTTGACCAAAGAGTTTTTCTTCACATTAGGACGTCTATATGTGTATAATTAGTGTCTTAATCCCTAATTATATGTAAACGTATGTCTTCATATGTTACTAGGGTCATAAAGTGTGTTCAAGCCTTCACTTGACACCAAGCACTCAACCGACACTTCCACCCGATCCACTCGCTACAGGTGAGTTCATACCCCTTAATTAACCTTTTTAAATGTTTTTACATGCTATAGGGGGGGGGGGGTATACAAGTAAATGCAACAAGTTCTAGTTCCTAATCATATGTGATTTATAACTTACAACCAAAAAGGATTTTTCTATACTTTTAACTATTTGTCAATAAAACTGTTTTAAATATTGATCAAACGCATTTTCTAAACTAAATTGTTGTCAAAATATTTTCGAACTGTGTTTAAACTACTTTTCTTATAAACTATATCGACATCAATATATTTATATAAATAAGACTTGAAGGACTTAGAATCGATAGCTCACCATATTTCCTGTTCTTGTTTGATTGTGGTCTTAGGGTATATTG